CACTTTTGCAAACTAGGAATGGAAGAGGGCTCTCAACTTTACCTTCAAAACAAAGAGGAAAGAGAGATGCCACTTTCAAAGGTCCTTATATGTTGTGATCCTGTCATTGCTTTCCTCACTAGATCTAGTTATCAGTGTATCGCGAGAGCTTCAGACATGAAGAGAATAGGAGGCGACAATGCGGGTCTCGAGGTAAGATGAAAATTAGGATGTTTGGTTTCTACAGTTTGTTGCGGTGAAAAAACTGAAGTGGAGCGGAGCTTCAACTCTATTTGCCCCATGAGTTAAGACGTGCAAACGGTTTTAGAAACTGGAAAAAAAATGCAAGCGGGAGCAAATGTGAAAGGATGAAAGCATGATTAGGTAGTTTATTGGGTGCTCTGTATATAATTATACCTTTAATCTAACATATTTATTTATTTATTTTTTTCAATTTTAACATAACTGTTATATAAAATCATTGTTTGATCATTGCATGTTTCATCATCAAAATGTACTTATTTTGATTTCTAATAATCACAAAATATGCATCATGGCATTAATTTAATATTTAAATAAAAATTCAAGATTTTCATAAAAAATAACATATTTGGCAAATTTTATTATGATTAACTTCTACTCTCTCCACCAATTTTTTTTTATCATTTAGCCAATTTATAATTTATTAAAATATCTCAGAACATATAATTATTATTTATATGATGCAGTAAATTTTATAAAATTTCAAATCAAATTTTAGTAATATTTATGCGAAGTTCCAACTTACCCTTACCTTTCCTTTAAGAAAAATGTCCCCAAAGTGGCCAAAAGATCATTTTACCCCATCATTCCACTTAAGATGGCATGCTGAATATCTAACATGATCATTTTGGACATAATGCCAAGTTACATAAAATTCATTAAGGAAAATAATGGATCAAAAGCAATAAAGGGGAGAAAGCTAAATATAGAAGGTGGATTGCCGCTAAAGGAATGAATGCCTTAGTAGTAATGAAGACTACTTGGAGGTCACTACACAGTTAACAACCAATATTGATAGATAATGCAAATAAATTCTTACTAACTTAACCTTTAACTATTAATCGACAACATCTGAAACTTGATGTAAGTGTGTGAATGCCTTGATTGTCACGCTCCGCCAAACTGAAGAGCAAAAGTTAGACAGGAAGCTAGTATACCATATTCTGATATATATAGGGAAGGTGAGAATCTTCTACATTACTACAGCAGAGTTGGAATCGAAGGGCTGAAAATTACTGAAGGACACTGAAGAGATGTCTAATGAAGAAATATCAAGGAAGTGGACTGCTACATTGGATATAGATAGAACTTATCACAACTAATTTGTGCAGAATTATTGCTCTCATCAGTTACGACTATCAAAATTCTTTTATGTTTTGATCTGCTTTAGCTTTGATAGCTTGAAGATGTGCTATATTTCAGTTATGAAACCAATCGAATGCAAGAAAAGATTTAGATTAGAACTACTTGTGGAAGGCTAAAGTTAAGTTAGGATTGATGCGATGAACCATAGCTAGGGTTGTAAGGAGTCAATGAAAGCTATAAAAAGGAATAGACTAAATATAAAAGGTAGATCGACACCAACGGTTTGCTCTAGGTTTTTTTTTTTTTGCATTGGCTAAGCATTCTCTTTAAATTAAGGTTGTATAAGGGAATGAAGAATGGATGGAGGGGAGTATGACAGTTTTAGAGAGTAGTGGCTAGCTTTGCCATTGAACTAGATTTGATAGTTTAGAATTAATTAGTCAGAAGCTACAATTGGATGGTATTAACATATCATTTTCTTTCCACATATTTTTTCAAAAACTTTCAATATATAAAAGAGTTACTAATAATTCACATTACACATGAGGAAAATTTAAATCATTCAACAGTAACAAAAATATCTACAAGTAAACATCTAAATCCACACAACGTATCTCAATATCAAAAAGAAAACAGTGTAAGAGATTGCAAATATATCATAACATGATACCTATCAGTTGCAGTCCTCATCATTTTAACTAAGTCTCATTTGTCATATATATTAACCTATAGCTTTTTTTCCTAAAAGAAAGCATTAATTTCAACAACAAGTTTGATTTAGTGAGCAATTATAACCTTATTATACATTAATTATTATGTCAATGTTATGCATGAATGAATAAAAAAATGCTGTTCAATAATAATGAAACTTTAAACTTTCACTTTAATTTGAATCCCATCCCATTTCAATTTAAGTATTTACCCATTTTAATCTCTTTAAGAATCATAATAAGAGTATTGTCACACCCTAAAGTATCCTAAAAAATGTACCTGAATATACACTAAAAATTTGCACCCGAAAGTACACATTTACAATTTTCTTTATCGTGCACAGGTATATCACATTATCTCTCAGTACCATATGGAAGTAATACTGTATGACTTAAACATTCACACTTCATTTCATTTAAATTTAAAATCCTTTAAAAATTACCTTGATATTTCTGTTATTTTCCTCCCATTTATGATACATATTTTAAACTTTCAAAATGCAAGATATAAATGAAACAATTGTTTTAAATTATTTAATAAAGTAATTATTTATTTGATAAAACACTAATTTAATGCATAAAAAAATAATTGCTCGCCTTGCTTGATGTGATAATTCTCCCTAATTTTTAAATCTTTTGAAAAAAGAAGTTCTTTAATACGTGATCATATAGAACATAATATTAACATTTATCCTACTAATTTTTTTGAAAACTAAAAAAAGACCTTAAACATATCTTTTCTTTCTTCTTTTAATAAAATCCACAATTCAAATCTTCAAGTCTTACAGAACAAAACTTCATTGCTTTCTTGATTTTTATCATTAATAGAACTCACTATTATAAATTGAGATATGTTGAATTAAAGAATTGTTTATTAATTCATTAACAATCACAAAATAATGTTAACTAATCTAGTTTAATATTTAACCAAAAACTCACTATTTTAGGCTGAAATCTCTAATTGTGTGAGTCTTGAATTTTAAAAACTTTCCATTAACATTATTTAACAAACATAACCTCAAACATATATGTATATAACATTATATTATTTAACTTAATAATAAAAATCTCAATTGCACTTTCGACCAACATCCATATCCTGCACGATAGCACCCCTTCTCCTCTTCTTCACGTCGTAGATCCCATCTCTTCCCTCTTCTCTCCCGCAAGGCTTCACGCAGATGGCACTTGCGGTCTTCTTCTTCCGCTTCCTCTGTGTGAGCATAGCACTGAAGTCTCTTGATTCTTCCTCTGCTTTCGGCCATGACTCAACCCGACACCGCAAACCCTCAACGCCGCCACCTCCTCCTTCGCATGGTACCAACACATGAAGTGGTCGCTGCCCCCTTCCTTCTTGACTTCAATCGGCTAGGGTTCAACATCGAAGCTACACCTCCTCCCTTCTTTCCCCCTCTACGTTTGCGGCTCAATCCAGCACCACACACACATGAAAATCCCCTCCTTTCTCTACGTACAATAGCAACACACATAGTCGTTCGACTCACTATTCTTCTTCACACATGCCGAAACCACAAATCCATCTTCGGTGATGGCAGCGGTTGTGAAACTCCTCAACAAGGCCACAATTAGGGTAGGAAAGCGAATCCTCTTCTTTCTCTGATTCTTCTTCTCTCGCTCACTTGTTCTCCATTTTGTTAGTTCGAAAGGGATACAACTCTTTTGTCATACAACCAATGAGATTCGTATCCCTACACTTATTCGATTTATTATTATTATTATTATTATTATTATTATATTATTATTATTATTATTATTATTATTACTATTATTATTATTATTATTATCAATTATTACACATCACTAGAGGTTCTCGAAAACTATGTCAAAAGAAAGAGGATAATTAAAATATAAATAATGAGAAAAACAAAAAACTCATCAAAGATGTCCAACAACAGGAGGATTCGACAACAAAGAAATAATCAATTTCATTTGATGACTTTTCAAGATTACATAAGACTTCTATTTATAGAGCTACAATAGATCATCGCATGGAATACAAACTACTAAAGCAAGTAGATGGTCGGAGAAGCAAACATGGAAGGATTGAAAAAACTGCTTGATGCAGTCTTCACTTATCATGAAAGGAAGGAACCTACCAATCTTCCTTGGGTAAGTCCTTAGTTCCTATTCTAACACATGTTTTTCCATATAACAAGCCACCTTGTAAGCAAGCATAGATACTACTTGCATTAATCCACATGTTGAATACAGAAGGAGGTGATCGACCATGCTAGTAATGGAGGTGACGCTTTTAAGTTTTGGACATCTTCATAGAATTAATCACAATCTCCCTTCATGATAAAGGTTTCTAGCTGTGTCATAATCATTAATATTAATATTTTAAGGCTTAAAGGATATGTTTTACCATTTATGGTAAGATGAATAGAATGATAACAAATGCTTTTTTTCCATTTTTGTTCATTTCAAGTGACAGCCATGGGTGCTTAGGTGTATATGAGATGAGGGGAGAGGAAAGAGAAAGTTTGTTTTGGAGGAACTTCCACTAGAAGAATTGAAGCAGGATATGTTTAACCTCTAGAAGAAAACTTATGTTTCGTCTAGTACCGTATCTTATGAAATGATAAAAATAATTGATGTCTTTCTGTGCGAATGAGAAAGTTCACATTGGTTTACAATTATCCTATCTTATGCTATTATAAAAACTATATTTTTCTTTGTTTTTATGTACTATACATGACATAATTACATAACTTAATATAAACTTTTGTCCTTAAGCGATTGTGCAATTATACCAAATAGCTCCTTCCCAATCCCATGGTTAATGCATAGGGTGGTCATTATTTCATCGTGCCTTCGAACCAATGCAAACCCTTTTTAGTTTATTTATTTTTATATAATTAACCAGAAAAAAACTACCAGTAAATCATCCAATAACTTCTCAATTCTTCCACAGGGAACTGCAAAGTTATAGTTTTTTACTACCTATGAGGAGGATTTGCTCGTTTCCACTGTCAAATCCTTCCATCTCGATTAGAAATTGTGTTTTAAGTCGCCTGCTTGATTCATGTTCACCATCTGACTTCCTCTGCGCTTCAAATAGACAACATCAACCAACATTTTAACAATTCAGCTAAATGAAATAATTAAAAAGTACCTGAGAAAGAAGTGAGTCTATTTCATCCACAAAGATTACCGCCGGTTGGCGACAACTTGCAACACCAAAAAGTGCTCTTACAAGCTTTTCACCCTCACCAATCTACAACCAATAAGAAATTAAGCTGTGCATACTACAAGTAAGAAAATAAACACACTTTGAATTTAGGAAACAAAAGTTATATGTGGAAAACATAAACAAAGGTCAACAAAGACAACATATTTTCTTCTTATTTGTATCCATTATTTAAAGCTTTCTCAGCAATCTAATGAAAAAATGCATTTTTAAGTAGCTTCTTTGAGTCTTAATATGGCCTTCTTTTTCAAAATATCGAAAGCACAAAACTATGCAAATATGCATGTAAAAAATGAAATCTATTCTCTCTAATAAGAAAATAATGGCATGTGACACATGCACGTATTCAACAAAAAACTATCATGTAAGTCTAGTTGTGTGCAAAAAGGGGTTGATTTATTATGCTCTGTAAGAATAAAAAGAAAGAATATATCTGACTATCCTATGGTCGGGTGCTTTACCTCCCTTCGGTTATACTTTCTTGTTCATTTCTTTTCTTTTTTTAAAAAAATTTACATAAAATTCATAGTAAAGGGCATGGATTAACGACATTTAAAATAGACTCTTTAGTAGCCTTTGACTATATCATGGTAATTTAAGCATTCCACTAACTAGCAAGTTCACATTAGAACAAAAAATAGCTCTTGTTATTTAAAAAACACGGCAATTGTTATAACTTGAACCAGTTCAGCCCTAAATAAAACTGCCATAATTTCATCTCACAAATCAACCTCGACCCTGACCACTGACTCCTCTGTGAATCTAAACCTCTATCATTCTCGCATAGATCGCACAACCCCATAAGCCCGCAATCCCCACTTGAACCTTCCCACACTCTTGGTCAGTCTTCATTCACCATATAAGGTGATTAGAGCTAGGGCATCATTTACCATCTCATTATAGCTACCAAGCCCCATTGTCAAATATTCAACCCACTCTCATACTCCCTCTCGATTTCCCATTCATCAACACAATAGATAGGCATCTCCCTTGTCATCTTAATTCCCAACCAAACAACCATGACAGTGAGCTATCTTTCTCCTCTATTTTCTTCTATTTTTCTTCTTCTTCTTCTTCTTCGACTTCTTCCTCACCTTCCCTTTTTTCTATGCCCACATAATGTATATAATTGAATTAATTTTGTCTAAACCATTTAATATGAGATTCGTGAACCTTTCTTATTTTATTTTGTTAAATATTAGATAATGTTACAGTTATTTTTAGTTAAATTACAGAAGAGTGGGCAATCAAATGGGTTACGAGAGAAACAAATGTGCGTTGATCCAAAACAAGGGGAAAGAGGCGGTTAAACCATTAAAAATGTACAATAAGTATACTCCAACTGGCAGAGAAAAATGGCCAATGGGTTTGAAGAGGAGTATGCAGGATCTGAAAATTCATGCTCCAACCTCCTGTAATAGATTTTGTGTTAAATGGTCTACTCAACCTTCTAAAGTATTCTTATTGGTAGCTATGGATTACGTTGTCTACAAGAAACTAAAAAAACTATGAAAGTTGGTTTAAAGAGACAATTTTGAATCAAGCTTTGTATCTTATCAAGCATATGTACTCTATATTTTATTGCTCAAAGATGTAACTATTGTGGGACTTACGGGCTATGACTATGACTATAATTTAATGGTATCATTTAAATCACTCAATCAGATTGCCTCGATCATAAACACTTATTGTGTTCTCATTTAGCAGCAAAATCATTTGACTAGAAAACAAATGTCATGTCTTTCTAGCTAGAGATCATTTAAGAGTGCCATGGTTGATATATAATTATTGTGAGGTCAAGTTAATTTTAAATTTGTCCTTAGCAAAAAACTGTTCAGAATGATGAATGAATCTTGCTTTCGAATTTAAGTAACAAATTTCACATGATTATTCTAGATTCAGATGTTCTTTCTTGAGTTTCCACGTGAATTTATTTTGACATAATCTTGAAATTATTTATAATTGAATTTGAGATACTTTAAAAATAGAGATTCATTCAATTGAAATTTGTTTTCAACGAGGTTTTTGAATGATAACACTGTCACTTCAAACATTATCAACTCTATGCTTGCTTGTAGAAGAACAAGTCTGTGATTTACATAATACTTGATCCATTTAAATACTTGTTATGTTACAGACATTTTTGACCCATCTCCACACATGGAAAATCAAGTATATAGATTAGGACTTATTATTGTGTTTTTTAAATGTAGACTTATGATGTGTTTTATCAGAATGACACTAAGAGTTGTCATCTCTAAGATAAATTTTCTTTATAACAAGCTTCAAACATCTTATGTGAATGGAAGACTAGATATGATTTTGTAGGCTTCACGATCGAGTGTTGGACTATAAATTCGATTGACTAGAGATCTCCTATGGTAATTTATTCAAAAGTAGAAGTTTAATTAAATATGGTGGGAAAAACAACAGGATCAAATCTCAAAAGATAGGTCTTACAGCCATACCTTATAGGCGAGTTGTCTACTCTACTACTAAGAGTTTTAACTTTGAAGTAAAATTTATTATACAAGGTCTTGAAGCTCATATGTGGATGATCGATAAAACAACAATTTTAAAAATTCACCGGAGAGTGTCCCTTTCTCAATTCTTGATGACAAGTTAGTTATGCTGAAAAAAATAGAAGAAAATAGAGAGAAAAAAATGGATAGTTTTTAGTCGAAGCACACACTAATTTAAGACTATATAGTAAGACAACATTTTTTCTTCTACACAAACAAATGAGAAATTAAAAGGAACTAAAAAAATAGTTTTTCCTTCATGTATTTTAACAAGACAACCTTTCACATACTTTAATTAATATAAATATTAAATTATTTTGCATTAATAACATGCACAACACCTTAATGCAAAAATCTTATACCAAAGTTTGATCGAAATCTCTCAAATTTTTTTATAAATTGAGAGCTTTTGTGAATCTATCAGCAACTTGGTCTTTTGTAGAAAATACTTAATAGTAATTGTTCCGCTAGCAACTTCTCGCACAAAATGATGTTGAAGTTCTGCATGTTTTGTTCGACTATGAAATATTTAATTTTCTGTCATAGATATTATAGATTTATTATTAAAAAACAACTCCGTCACTTTCAACTGGGGTTGTTGAAGTTCTAATATTCTTCTCATCCAAATTGCTTGACATGTTGCTAATGAAGCTGCATAATATTTGGCTTCCGAAGATGATAATATAATAGTTGCTTGTTTTTTTGTGCTCCAAGATATCACGCTAGATCCAAGACCAAAAATAAATCCACTTGTACTTTTTCGTCATCTTTGGAACCTGCCCAATCACTATCAGTAAAACCAACTAAATTAAATCGAGAAACGTACTTGTGCAAAATCCCATAGTTAGTTTTCTTTCGAATATAACGAAGTACATGGTTGGCAGCTTTGAGATAATGTACAGAAAAACTATGCATGAATCTTGAAATAAGATTTGACCAGGTACATGATATCAGGTTTGATATGAGTCAAAAACATAAGACCACCCACAATTCCTCTAAATAGTTTTTCATTTTCCTTAGTTGTATAATCATTTTGAGTAGATTGTTCATTTGTATTAATGGGTGTTGAGATCTTGCAATTCAACATATCATACTACTTTAATAACTCTAATGCATTTCTTTTTCGAGATATAAAGAACTCGAGTACTTGAATAATTTGTAGGCCCAAAAAATAGTGCAAAAAACCCTAATCAGTCATATCGAATTCTTTCACCATATTAGCCTTGAACTTTTCAATCAAAATTTTGGAAGGCCCGGAGTAGATGATATCATCTACATAAACACAAACTATAAGATTATAAGCACATTGAGTTAACACATACAAGGTGGGCTCACTTTCCTTTCTATGAAATCCTTTCTTTTGAAAGAATGAATCAAGCCTCCAATACCATGTTCTTGGTGCTTGTTTAAGGCCATAAAGTGCTCTTTTAAGTTTGTAAATTTTCTCCTTTTTGCTTTTAATAATGAAACCATAGGTTTGATTCTTCTTCCAAAGTACCATTTAAAATGCAGATTTAACATCCAACTGAAAAACTTTCCACTTGATTTGTAAAGCTAATGCAAGTAATAATCTAAATGTCTCAATTCTAGCAATAGGAAAGAAAGTTATTATAAGAGTTAATCTCATATTTTTGCGCATAACCCTTGACAACAAGTCTTGCTTTCTATCTTTTTACACTTCCATTGGAATTATATTATCCATTTTACATTAATTGGAACTTTTCTTGTGGTATATCAATAAGTTCCTAAGTAGCATTTTTTTTCAATAACTTCAATCTCCTACATAGCATTCTCCCATTCTTCTTTTCCACGAGCATCTTCATAATTTGATGGTTCTGAAACCAATAAGAGCAAATGTACAATCATATAGTTCTTATTAGGATCTCATCTTTTTAGCTTGTCTTTCATCAAATGTACTTGAATCTGCTCACCTTGGACTTGATGGTGATGGGCTGAGGATCCCAACATTTATGTAATGCTTCCAAATATCATCAAATGACTGTTTTCTTCGATGCCATACTTCATAAGGTGTAATATTTTAAACAGTTGTCATTGATGATATATTCAAAATATAAACTGCAGTTGCAACAGTTTTAGCCCAAAATATATTTGGTAGATTATTCAACTTCAACATACTTCTTATCATCTCTACTACTGTTTTGTTCTAACTTTCTACAATCTCATTTTGTTGTGGTGGGTAAGAAGTAGTTAACTACCTAAAAACTTCATGCTTGTCATAGTATTTTCCAAACTCATTTTTTTGTAAATTCTCCTTCTCTATCAGTGCATAGACTCATAACATGCTTATCACTTTGATCTTCCACCAATGACTTAAAGTGCATAAACTTGACAAAAACTTCTGATTTATGCTTCAAAAGAACACACTCAATTAATTCTATTGTAATCATCCACAAATAGAACAAAAATATTTGCTTCCACCATGATGTTGTGTTCATTGGACCACATAGATCGGCATGAAAACTCCAAACATCTTTTTGCTCTCCA